AGAAAAGAGTGCAAAAATGAATGAATGGAAATCCAAAATCTCTGTAAATGTTCATTAAAATTAATAAAATAAAATTTTTTAAAAAAAGGATTATCACCTTAAAATTTAGTTCTTACATGCTCATACAGGATATATTGACAATTTATATTTATGCTAAGACATTTTAAAATTACCTTTTCCTATAAGGACTCCAATTTTTGAGTCTAATTTTTCTCCTGGGTCACAACTTCTTGTCACTAATTTGAGAACGGGAAGAAAAGGCTTGACATCACAGAGTCTTCTTGTTTCGTCTTCAAGCTCCTCATATACAGCAGTTTGATTCACACATGCAAACATATAGGAGTCAATTTCCATAAGGAGGTTAAACAGTGGGTAATTGTGAACTTGCTTCCATAACATCTGCGGGGGAAATAACAGGAGGCACTTTGTGGAACAGAAAACACTTAAGTGTACAGAAGTGTATCGATACAGACTTGTCTCCCAAAACATTTATGCTGTAAACCCAAGTCCCTCGGCCTAGAGTTATAATCCCATTTAGGAATGGCTTTTCTTTGTTAGGCTACTCACACAGTATTAGTGTAAGGTATGTTTTAAGTCCATCTCTTTAGAGCTAAGTGCGATTAAGCCAGCAATAAGGAAGAAGGGATTGAGTGTGGGAGTCAGAGGAAGACACGTGACAGTAACTAGGGACCCAAAGACCCTAGGCTCTCTCTTGGGGTTGGCAGAAAGACAAAGTTCTTCCCTAGAGCTGGTAACCAGCATTCAGATTTCTCCCCTGGCATAATCGGAGTAGGGAGCTGTACTTCTAACTTAAAAGTTGTGACTCCAGCAGTTCTAACCCACCAGCAGCTCGGAGGGATAAAGATGGGCAATCCCTTCCCATTCCATTTACAGCCTCGGAAACTCAGTGGAGGGTCAGCTGTGACTCAGCAGCAGTGAGTTTGGGTGGGAGTCTCCCAAAATATAGTAAGACTAATCTGCTTGTTAAAATCACAAATTTGTGGGATTTCTATCACGACAGCTCCAGATGACTAAGACAGATACTCACTATAGTGCTGTTTGTAAAATCTTTTTTGAAAGTAAAACCTGTTGACAAACCCAAAGTCCAGTAATAATTGCTTAAATGAAATATGGATTATACAACTGTAAAAATAAAGCAGGGGAGGAATTAGGAAAGATGCAAAAGGAACTTGAAAAAGCAGGGTAATAATGGGCATAGATCAAAGGTAATTAAAGCCATAACTATGGAAATGAATGTATAAAATACAATGTGAATAGAACAATGTGTGAGTTACAATGTATATAAATAAAATACATTAGTTTTGCTTGCAAAGAATATAAAATAGTTTTTTTAAAAGGTAATACAATTTGACATGAAAGCTATAAAAGCTGCATTTATTTCTTTGCTTTTAATAGTGATTTGCAGAAAAACATGTGGGATGAATGTACCTTTGTAAAGTAATTCAGCTGTATCAGAAATTTTTTAAAAATGCCTTTTTAAAGAAATGAAATTAATAAAATGAACTATCAATGGACAGTAAAAAAATAATCAGTGAACACTACCACATTTAACACTTCTGGAAACACAATTTTTACTTTAAAAGGATTCCTTTTATTTCATATATTGTCGCTCTCATAGGAAAGTTAAAATGTACTTGGGCTGCATTCCTGTCTGTTCACAAAGAGTGTTCTTACTAGATCTGTACTCTGCGACAGACAGTCAATCTCTTTCTATCCCGTCCTTTGGTTCTGAGTGAGGAAGGAAAATCACCAAAGAAATCAAAATGAGATTCCATACTCTGACAACAGCCAAAACAGGATCAACTTCAAACTTGGGAAATAACACACCTTTGGTAAGGAAACAAAAATGTAGCCAATCTGAAAATTCAGTTCTATAAAACAGACAGTTCATAGCAAAACTGTATTTGAAAGAGTTCAATTTCTTAACGAAGACTGTGGAATCGAATTACCTCTGGCTGTTTTATCTTTTCAGTTTGGACATTTAACTGACCTCTGTTCGAACATGAGTCTAATTTATTTGCCATTTCATGCTTTTTAAAATTGAGTTGATTTAAAAGTGAACTTCTTATACTGTGCATTAAAATAAAAATTTGAATAATTAAAAGAAAAACCAGACAGGAAGGTATCACTAGTTAACTCAGGCTCAGGAATAGCTAGAGACGTCTACACTCCAAAAATCCAAACCCACTGCCACTGAGTTGACTCCTACTCCCAGGGACCCTAACGGCAGAGTGGAAATGCCCTGGAGGGTCTCCGAGGCCACCGCGCCTTTCTCCCATGGAGGGTGTGAGTGGTTCAACCTGCTGGCCTTTTGGTTACCTGTCAAGCTCTAGCCACTGCATTGCTAGGGATGATTACACTTTCATTACTGACTAGAAAAATAGGTACCAAACACCTAGTGGGAAACTAAGACAATTTCAAGCTTCCCCCAAAGATTATATGGTTTAAAAATTTTAATGTCGCCTAGATAAAGAAGCTGGACAAGTATTGAGAAATTTGTCCAACGTCAAAGGATTTAAAATGTTTAGTCTTAAATATTTTTCTTAAAAAAAGCAAGACCCCTGATTCTACATCGGGAGTAGCTACTTGCAAAACATGAAACAGAAAGTTTGGAATTCCAGTTTCATTCATATGTTGTAATCACCATACATGAATGGTACTCATAAATTAATATGCAAAAACAAAGCAGCATAATAGGCAAGAAGATTTTGCAAAATATTTGCTTCCAAAAAAAGGCATCGTTTATTACCAGGGGGAAAAAAATCTAATCAACAGCAGAAAACACTTCCCCTAAATTTACCCCAAAGGGGTGGGGGGAGGAAACAGCGTCAGAAAAGAGAAAAGAAACTAACTGAAAATTGCAGGAAAAATAATGTGTAAAAATAACTATAAAAATTTTTAACTTTTTAAACAAAAGACATAATGATTTTGTCAATTACTACCTACCTTGGGAGGGACTGGAGAGCATTATGCTGAGTGAACTCACTCAGATCCCACAAGGACAAGCATTAAATAAAACCATTATTGTAGAATGAGTATAAGGATCCAAAGTGGGGGTGGGTGGAAGCAGAGAGGTGAGATGTGTAGGGGGAGGGAAGAGTAATAATGAGGTTGTACAATTTGATGAGTGAGAGGGTGAGGGAAATTGGAAGAATCTGGTCTGAAAAACAATGTATTCAAATTTTGTAAATAAACAAGTATAATGAAAATATAAAGACCCTATAAACAAAAGACCTAAGTTCATAGTTTCCAGAGGCATGTTGTTTAGGAAGTGGATGCCACTCCTGCTTATATATTTTGTTCTTCATTAAGCATCATACATGGATTAAAATTGGAGAATGAGTATATCTCTACACCCAAGACAAAACATAAATAAAAATCTTTAAAACACAATTACTTAAAGGTTTAGCCTTTCTACTAATATTTTCTATAAGAAAATCCCACTTTCCTCTCATTAAGACAAGAAACCAAATTTACAGAAATTTCATCTATTTACATACCTGCTTAATATGAGAAATGGTAGCTTCCCGAGGTACCTCCAACTGGATATAGATCCCAGTGGGCAAAAGAAAATCCACAGGTATGGAGCCATCAGACGCTATCTGCGAATCTACAGCCCAGATGTCAAGAATGTCTGCCATAGCAGGAGGCATTATGGAATTGAAGCACATTCATAACCATGGGGCCCTGGAATTCAGTCAACAGGAAGAAATCAGCAAAAACAGATCTTCAGACAAACTTTAGAGTAAGAAACGATAAAGCACTCCACGCTAGCTCCTCATTCACCAGGCTACCAATGGTAAAGCCCCTGTCAGTACAGCAGTAATGTTACTCAAAAAGACAAACTTCAAATTAATTAGAGTGGTCGGAACCGACTCACTGGTGACCCCTCTGGTGAGTTTTCGGAGGCCGTAAATCACATGGGAACAGACAGCCCATCTTTACTCCTCAGAGCAGTTGGTGGGTTCAAACTACTTGCCTTTGGGTTGGCAGTGACATCCTTGACCCACTAGACCACCAGAGTTCCCTTAGTAATGCAACAGGAAGGCAAATGATGGGATTTTTTTTAATAAAAAAAAAAGAAAATTGTAAGAAACCAGAAATAAGTAATTGAAATAAACTTGATCACGTTACTACACTGGGGTAAGGAGTGCTGCTTGCCATCGAGTCGGAACCAACCCATAGCTGACTCTCCAGCAGGTTTTCAGAGGCAGTAATTGCATGGGAGAAGACTGCCCATCCTTCTCCCGCAGAACAGTTGGTGGATTCAAACCGTGTGCCTTTAGGATTGCAGCGCAGCATCTTACCCCGAGGCCACCAGAGCTCCTACATTAGTTACATAATACATAATTAATACGTCACATCGTTTCAAATTCAAGTTGAGTGTATTAGGTCTGAAAGAATTGTAGGTTTAAGGATTGAGGAACTTGAAAAATACAGCTAATAACCACTCAACTGGTGAGTCTATGTCTTATTTTAGAAAGTATTATTCAGCTGAGTTTTTCTGTGTTAAGGCCAGTGAAAATGGCAGTCAATGGGGGTTCATCCTATGAAGCAGCTGCCTTACACAATTTCACCAAAGTAGTTATTAATAAGACGATTAAGGGGGAGAAATCCACAAAGAAAGGAACAAAATATAATGTAAATGAAAGACTGTTTAAAACACAATGGCATGCATGAAATACAATGTATATGAATGATAAAAACATTCATAAAAAATAGTTTTATGCTAGAGAATAACTTTCTATTCATCTCACAGGAGACACAAAGAGTCAACAGGAAGGAAATCAAACTACATTTTTAGGTCATGGCCTTAGTACTGAAAAACAAACCCCTCGGTTTAGCTGGCAAGGCCCTTGTATGTCCAGCAAACTTTCCTATGCTCCTCACTGCACCAAAGGTCCTTGGTATCATGCTACCCTCTGACTCGCTACAGCCAGACCTGGATGCCCTTGTGGAATCTACCCCACTGATCAAACCCCTCTCCCAACAAATATACTTTTCATCTGTGCTGGTTAAGTTCTATCAATTCCTTGAGGCAGTTCTTCAAGGAGACACAGGCATACACAAATTGGCTTTGTAAATGTACACTCAATAAGGTTTTTTAAAAAAAGAGACAGCACAACACTAGTAGATGAAGAAAATGAGCACTGAAGTTGGATAAACCACAATTCAAATATCATTTACTCTAAGAACAAAAGCATTCTGTCACAAGAGCAGGTGCCAACGTTCTGCATTTTTGGTGATCGAGAACAGTAAGGATGAAACTGTAACAAACGTAAATACAGAAATGTATGCATGAATATCCTCACAAAAAGCTAAGAAACTCTTCACTGGGCATCACTAGAGCTCTGGTGGTCCAGTCGTAAGGAGTTGTGCTGCCATCCCAAAGGCATGCAGTTCAAACCCCCCAGCTGCTTCACGGAAAGAAGACAGGCAGTCACTTCCTGTGTGGTTCACTGTCTCTGAAAACCCACTCAGGGTCAGTGGTGAGTTGGACTCCACCTGGACAGTTAGAAAGGACGGCTCTGACTGAATGACACAACGATTCTGAAAACAACAGGAGGGAAGTCAAACCTTTAATCTACTCTTCTTATACTAACCTAACTCTTCAGGTTAACCAAATTGTTCACAGGGTTTAAGCTCTCTTTTTAAGAGTTTTCAGAATATAAGCTCAAAGTATAAAACAAAAAAAAGTGACATCATTAGAAAGTCACCATTCTGTAACCTGCTGTGAACTAATGGCTCTACACAACAATCATCAATATGCATGTTAAAAACTCACAGAAGGAATACCGAGCCCACTATAATGAATTTATCGGGTTGGCACCACCTGAATCCCCCGATCTACATGAAAATCACTGAAAAGCGGGACAAGACGAAATTACAAGCCTCCAAATTACAAGCCTCCTCGTATACTGCAATAGGAAGAAGCACTCACCACATACTGGGAACTATTGGCTTAAGAAAACATAAAAGAATAAACCTGAATCTAGTTAAGTCTAGATCCACCAACTGTTGTTATATGCCGTCAAGACACCTGTGACTCATAGCGACCTTATGTACAACAGCCCTAAACGCTGCTCTATCCTGTGCCAATCGCACTGTCTCCAACACACCCACCCTGATTACCCCAGTCACTGAATCAATCCACCCTCACAGAGGGCCTTCCCCTCCTGCGCTGTCCTTCCACCCTCCCAAGCATAATGGTCCTCTCCAAGGATCTCCTTGCAACATGTCCAAAGTATGTCAGACGAAGCCTCAGGATCCTTGCCTCCAAGAAGCACCCCAGTTTAATCCTCTCCAGGACGAACCTGTTTGTTTTCTTAGTAGTCCATGGTATATTCAATACTCTTAGCTAGCACCACAGCTCAAAGGCATCAATTCCCTTTTATCATCCAAAGTCATTGTACAGCTCTCTGACACATAACAAGTGATTACAAAGACCACGGCCTGTATCAGGCAAACCTTAGCCTCCAGAGTAAAATCATTGCTATTCAGTACTTTCGAAAGGTCCCTAACAGCAGACTTTCCCATTGCAATGCGTCTTTTAATTTCCTGGCTCCTGGTGCCAAGAGTGTTGACTGTGGAGCCAAGCAAAATAAAGCTGTGAACAATCTCAATCTCTTCACCAACCATCCTGACTTTAGCATGGAATAGAAACATCAGAAGGGAAGAAGGGGACTTCAGCATCCCCACCCCACAGGTAAACACGACCCAGAGAACTGGCAGGTCAAGGTGGATCCACCAACTAGGAAATATAAAAAAGAAGGTAAGGGAACTCTGGTGGCCTAATGGCAAGAAGCTGAACTGCGATCCCGAAGGTTGTGCGATTTGAAATCTACCAGATGCTCTGCTGGAGTAGGGGGGCAATCTCCTGTACCAGTCAGATCCGATTTCAACAGCAGACAGCAAGAAAAAAAATTTAAAATATTAATAAAACAAAATAATTTTTTAAAAACACTTCAGGGAAGCAATGTAGCAAATTCAGAATGTATGACTATGAGGAAAACAAAGAATAAAGTCTCTCCAGCAAACGAAGAAAAAAGAGGACTGTACATAGAAGACAGAACCAAATCCAACACTGACGTAAATATATCAACTATAAAAAAATATCTTAGCAAAGATACTTGGAAGATGACAGCATGACCAACTCTAAGATAATGACATTTCCTAATGACACTTCCAACACAAACAGCAAGAAACACAGCTAACAGCCTTTAATGAGAACTTTTAAAGTGCAAAGAGATAAAAAAAAAAACCCCAATAGATCAAGGGAGACAACTGCAGTGGGCCGCATCTGTACCTGGGCGCCTGTGGACACAGACCTTGCTGGCAGGTAAGTCAGGTGTACAGTCTGAATGGTCCAGTTGGCACACAGCCTGAAAGACTGAACTATGGTCTAACTGGGAACTGACCCTTCACAGAGTGGAGGAAGGACCAATGATTAAGAACCAAGCGCTATACCCCTGAGGCTGTTTTAACCACTCTGTTTTCTGCTTAGTTAGAGAGTGCTGAAAGACTGAATCTTAGTCTGGTTGGCAGATTCAGTCCTCCTGGAATCAGGGAGGGAATGGTGAACACAGACAAAAGGTTCCCCTTGGGAGGAAGGGGACAGAGCAATTAGTGTTTCCAATCTGTCTGAGTGCTGTTAAAAATTTTAAACTTTGAGTCTAGCTCAATCAAAGATGTTGCAAAAACAGATTGGGTAATAAAGCCAAGTATGAAATATGCCTGCCTCTGATTTTCTCCAAGAAACTTGTTATGTACCCTTAGTCAGAGTCGACTCATCGATGACCCCTGGGAAGGTTTTCACAGGCGAAAACCACACGAGAAGATATTTGTCCATCTTCCCCTCACAAAGCAGCTGGTGGATTTGAACCACATGCCTGGCTGGCAGCACAGCTCCAGATAACTAGGTCACCAGAGCTCTCCCAGAAATAAGCCCTGTAAAAGATATGGAGTAGCTGGGAAGATAGACACCTAAATTTTAAGATCTCAAGTAAAAACAAAGACAAAAAAAACACCATAAAGAAACTTAAAAGACAACCTGTTTGAGGAAACAACAAAGATACCGTATTTACGCAAAACCAAATAATCAATAGACTAGAAAAACATAGTAAAGCAACCAAAACCCTTGGTACCAGCAATAGATCAGGAGATATAACACATGAGGCAAGTCCACTGTCAAGAACCTCTCCAAATAAATGAGAAGCAATGATGGCAACTTGAAGACTAAGGTGTGTCTGATTCAGGCCATGGTCTTTTCCATCATTTGCCATCCATCTGAGAGCTGTGTAATTCTTAAGGCTGACAGAAGACTAATTGATGCTTTCGAATTGTGTTGGAGAAGCGCACTGGGTATCTCGTGGACTGCCAAAAGAACAGGTAGGTCTTGGAAATAGTGTAGCCAGAGTGTTCCTCAAAGGCAAGGGTGGTAAAACTTCATCTCACGTATTTTGGGCCTGTTGCTAGGAGAGTTTAGTTCTTGGAAAGGGATATCTTGCTTGAAAAAGTTAGAGGGTCAGTGAAGGAGTCAGTGAAGGAAGACCTTCAACAAGACAGAGTGACACAGTGCAGCGATGGGCTCGAGGGTGACAGAAATGATTATGAAGATGGCACAGGATAGGTCTAGGCTTACATCTGCTGTTCTCAGGGCTGCTATGAGTTGTACTCAATTCAACGAC